GCGCGCCCGAGGGTGGTTTTTTAACGCGCGGGGGCGCGCGCGCTGTGCGGCTCTTCTGTGCGCGCGGCCGCTGACGTGCGCGTCCTCGTTTCGGCTCTTGGAACTGTGGCCCACGAGAGGAGCGACTTCGGGAGCGAGCTTCTGCCTGCGACCCCCAGTTTTCAGGCTTGCGCCCAGCTGTTGGGTCGCTATGCTTCCTCGAGAGCGCGCGGGACGCCGCTTCTGAGGCTAGGGGCGGCGGGCCAAAGGCTAGCTGCGTGGGGAAGTTGGAAGGTTGGGTTCTTCCTGCTCTGGTGACGTTCTCGGGCAGCCATGGTCTAGGCCTGCGGAGAAACCTAGTGGCTTTGCTGTCTAGTTTGCGGTTCCGCTTCTCTGCGTGGCGGGCGAGATTCCTGGTTGTTCTCGAAGAACATGGTTACCTGCGGCCAATGTGCGGGGTGGGTGTTTGGGGAGGGTGCTGCCCTGCATCGGAAACTCAGTCCTGTTGGCCGGAGAGGGCGGTGAGTCCCCTCGGGCTTTCTCACCTTGTGCCTTTGCGCCAGGGAGGGAGCATTAACGACACAAGACCCTTCAGTAGTATCTGCTTTCTTTTCATTCGAAACAAGTTCTTCCATAAGCGCAATTCATGTGCGTCACCTCTGTGTACTCCGGAAGGGGAGTCTCTCCTGTGTAGAAGAGGTAATACTCTGTGAGCTCTGAAATGCCCCTTTACATTCTTAAATGCAGTCTTTTTTTTTTTTTTTTTTTTTTCCTGAATGAGTGGGAGGAACTAACTTTAGTCTGTTCCACTGAGTGCATCCCCCAGTCAGAAAGTTGCCTGAAACAAATAGGACGAATCTGAGAATGCTTTGCCTTTTTTTTTAAGTTCAAAGCCCCCCAGTATAAATTTCTAAAACCTTTCCCTGTATTACTGTAAGAGTGAGATGACTTAAAGCTTTTTTTCTCCCCCTTTTCCACTTCAGTAATGTTCTAGCTCCAAGAGAATTCTAAGTTTGTCCTAGGGAAATTCGCGCCTCATTTTCTTCAGATAAAATATTTTCTTTTACTGTCTTCTTTCATTAAGGTTGAAGAGGAAGCTAAGAGTAGTGAAATTAGCAAAATGGATAATGATGGGGGAGTTTTAGAAATGTATTTTTTAAAGAAAAAAATTTAAAAAGAGGCTGAGGATGGAAGGAACTTCTTTATTCTATCTTCTTCAGAATGTTAGAAGTCTTAAGAACTCAGGACAAGCAGCAGAAATACATTCAACATGGTGACTGGTGAGTTAAATCGTTCATATGCTGGAAGTATGTGTGCAGTTTTTTTCTGGTAATATTGAAAAATTACAAATCTTGTCAATCATTCTGGGTGCTGTCTGTAAGAAACTGCTAGGTGCTGGAAAATGGAAGATGTGGGAGACTGCATCTTTGAATATAACTACAGGTCGTTGCTTGAAAAGTATTCTCTAAGTCGGTGCAACTTGCAGCAGTTAGCAGTAGCAAAGCATCCAAGGCTGACCTTAATCTTTCCCTTCCCAAGTCGAGTTTATCCAAGATATACTTAAAGTGTTGTTATGCATTTAGGCTTCCTTGTTCTGGATTTGCCTTTGTTTTTAACTACATTGAGATCTTTTAAATTAATGTTTGTAAATAATGTTTCCATAACTCATCAGCTAACATTTCCATATTTGAACTATTCTAGTCCTCTGTGATGAAATTACGTACCTCTCCGTGAACTTCTGCAGCTGAATATCTCCTTTCCAGCTTTTGGTGCTATTTCAAACAAAAGATCAAATAGTTGATGAATTTTCTTCTGTTTTTGGCTTTTTGGGACAGGGCCTTACGATGTAATTCAAGCTGCCCTTGAACTCAAGTGAATAGCTTTAAGCTGGCCTTGAACCTGGGAACTCTCTCGACTTTTTTTTTTTTATACTGGGGATCAAACTCGGGACCTTGTGCTGCTGAGGCACGTGGCAGAACCGCTGAGCTAAATCTCCATCCCTCGGGGACTCTCTTGCCTCAGCCTCCCAAGTGTTGGGAATACAGGAATGTGCTGTCATGCCCAACTGATTTTTTAAAAATAAATTTGATTTACTGTAAAATAATAACCACAGTCAGGCTCTCCTTTATAGCGTCCTCAAATCAGGACTTTTTTTTTTTTTTTTTTTTGGTACCAGGGATCAAAAAAAACAGGTTTTTTTTTGAGCTTGGATGCTGGTTTTTTTTTTTTTTTTTTTTTGGTATGGGATTTGAACTTGGGACCTTACGCTTGGGAGGCAGGCAGCAGAACCACTGAGCTAAATCCCCAGCATTGCATGGTTTCTTTTAATATCAGTTGGTATGTGCTTGATGTGCTATGCTTCTTGCTTCTTTGCTTTTTAATTGAGCACCCTTTATCTTTGAAAGTCTTTTTTAGTGTGTGTTGGTGCTGGGGACTGAACTCAGGCATCCTATATACTTGTTTGTTTGTTTTTGGTTTTATTTTGGTTTTTTGAGACAGGGTCTCACTGTGTAGTTGAGACTGGCCTGGAACACATGTAGCCCAGGCTGGTCTTGAACTCACAACAATCTTCCTACCTCTACCTCCCGAGTGCTGGGATTACAGGCGTGCACCATCACAGCCGGCCAGGCATCCTATATGCAAGGCATGTGTTTTATATGTACTACATCCCCAGCTCTTTTTGTTTTATTTTTAATTTTTAGGTAGAGTCTAGCTAAATTGCCCAGGCTGGCCTCATTCTTGTGATCCATCTTCTTTAGACTCCTGAATAGCTGGGATTACTGTGCTACCATGACAGGCTGTGTAGAAGTCTATTTATTTATTTTTCATTTGCAGAACTGAAGATTGAACACAGGGGAACCCTACCATTGAGCTGCATTCCCAACGCTTTTTATTAATTTTGAAACATGGCCCAGCTAAGTTGCCCCTTGGGGCTTGAATTTGTGATCCTTTTTTCTCAGCCTTCCATAGTGCCTAGATTACAGCAGGTATGTGGTAGGTGTCACTGTGCCTGGTTTAAGGCCTTTCATTTTTCTATTGGTCTTAAAATGAGGTGTAACATAAACACCTATTCTTTTCAGTTATTTTGTTGCCCTGCAGTTTCAAATGTTGTAAATCCTTGCCAGGCTTCACTTAAAAGCTTTGTTTTTTGTTCCCTGTCACATTGGATTGTGATTTCTGTTTTTGTTTGTTTTGGGTTAATGCTAGGGGTCAAAACAGTATGCTAAGCACATACTCTGCTACTGCGCTACATTCCCAGCCTTCAACTGTGATTTCTGTTATACTGAAGTGGCTGCATGAAAAACCTTTCTGCTTTGCTGAAAGGGAAAAAGGAATGCTGCTGTGGTTTTAGTGTTTCAGCCAGGGCAAAACTAGGTAAAATGACAGGCTTTATCAGAAAGCCAGTGCTAAAGCTGGTCATGGTTGGCACATGCCTGTAATCCCAGCACATGCCTATAATCCCAGCACTTGCACTCTGGAGGCAGAGACAGGAGGACTGTAGCAAGTTCGAGGTCAGCCTGGGTTCCAGTGAGTTCAAGATCAGCATGTACTGCATAGTGAGACCCTGTTTCAAAAAAGCAAAAACAAAGCCAATACTTTCTTTTTCTTTAAATTGGTACAGTTGGATACGATGGCACCTGTCTGTAATCCCAGTACTCTGGGAGGCTGAGGCAGGATGATCACAAGTTGGAGTCCTGCTTGGGTGATTTACTGAGCCTCTGTCAGAAAATAAAAAATAAAAAAAGCTGAAGATGTAGTTCAGTATAGATGTCCTGGGTTCAATTCCCAGAATAATTTTAAAAAAAAGTGAAATTAGTTTTTCTATGTACATTTTTTATATAGATATGCTCTGTGTGCAGTTGAATGAAAAATTATAAAGTAAGCTTCATTGTAACTATTGTAAGAAATAGAACAGGTCTGCTGAGTGTGGTGGTACATGCCTCTTAATTCCAGCACTCTGGCAGTCTAGGAGGATTGCAAGTTCTAGTCTACCCTAGGCAATTTAGGGAAATTTAAAAAAGGAGGGCCATGGATTTAGCTCAGTGGTGCCATCACCTGCCTCACAAGTGTAAGGTCCTAAGTTCGATCCCTGGAACCAAAATATTAAAGTTAAAAAAAATAATTGGTTTGTTTTGTTTTGTTTTTGAGACTGTCTCACTATGTAGTTCAGACCAGCCTTGATTGAACTCACTGGGTAGCCCAGGCTGCCTGAACTTGCATTCCTTCTGCCTCAGCCTCTCCTGAGTGTTAGGTTTACAGGTGTGTGCCACCATGCTTGACTAAAAAAATGATTTTTTTTTTTTTTTTTTTTTTTGAGACAGGGTCTCAGTATATTGTTGAGACTGACCTGGAACTCATTATGTAGCCTAGGCTGGTCAACTCACAGCAATTCTCCTGCCTCAGCCTCCCAAGTGCTGGGATTACAGGTGTGCGCCACCATGCCCAGCTCTTAAAAAAAAGTTTTTAAAGGGCTAAGGATGTAATGCAGTGTGAAGAGCCTGAGTTTAATCCCTAGTACTGGAAAAAAAAATTAAAAAAGAACAAGAACAATGTCAGCATCCCTGAACCCTTTATGGGTTCCTTTCTGGTTACAACTTCCCAATCCCAAGAAACAGGTACTATTCTGACTTGTGTGATAATCTTATTCTTTGTTTTTCTTTTTGTATTTACCATCTTTGTATCTCTGCAGTTTAGTTTTTGTTTTTTATAAATGGAGTCATGGTTTACTTTTTTTTTTAAAGAGTGTCCATGTGTAATTCAGCTAGCCTTGCATTCACTGGGTAGCTCAAGCTGGCCTCAAACTCCAGAGGCTATCCTCCTGCCTCAGCCTCCCAAGTGCTGGGTGTACAGGTGTATGCCACCATGTCTGGCCATGCTTTACTATTGGTTGCTCCTTTTTCATTTTAAAAAAAATTTGTCCTTTTGTGCAGTGGTAATTAATTGCCATTTCTACATTGTATTGTTATTTGAATATACCATAATTTATTACTTCCTTAGTTAATAAACATCTGACTTGCTTCCAGTGTTTGACTAAAAATGTTAATATGACCATTCCTATATAAGTACCCTTTACACATACATATATGCCATGTAGCTAGAGGTAGGATTACTGGGTTTTGTGGAATGGCATTCTTAGTGTCTCTAGCTTGTGCAAATGGTTGTGCTATTTTACAGCCCATCAGATTTCATAGGAACGTGAATTTAAAGTTCCTCATTGAAAGTATGTATTGTCCAAAAAAGTAGAACTATGATGAAAATGCCCCTAAATCAGGTATTTCTTTGAGTCGTGGAGCACATAAATGGCCCTATGGGATGATTTCTGTCACAAACCTGTAGTGGATTAGTTATCTTTGAAGTAGAAATATTTCTTCTGCTCTTCTTCTTTGAAATGATCTTTATATTACTTAGGACAGACATGGCTGTAATATTTTAAAGTGGAAATTGTTTTTTTCATGAAACTGTATTCTTCAAACCAGACTTGCTAAGCTATGAGGAGCCATTGCTAGAATAGATGGGAGCCTTGAGAGGGGCTTGAGGACCAAAGAAGAGGCAGAATTCTGTGAGGCAGCTTGAACTATCTTCTCTGAGGAGATGGGAAGGGAACTATGACCATCACTGATTCAGGACCTATTCTGAAGAACTGTTTGGAGACACTGGAAGAGATATCAAAGATAAGTGATCCAAGGAAGGGTAATTCTGGTGAGTACTTAGATTTTCTTTGCCTTGGTACCTAAATAGAAAAAGAGACAGTAGCAAACAGACCTGTGGAAATGATTGTTTCAGAGTAGTCTCTTTCCATGACACCATCTTTCTCTAGTAATAACAATTTATGTGTGGAAGGACTGCTTTGTGTCTGGCACTAACCCAACACCTGTAAGGCACAATAGTTAAAATTGGGTGGATCTGTTGATGGGGGTCTGATTGGTTTTTTTGTTGTTCTGAGAAAAGGCTGTACTTGAAGTGTTAGGAAGCAGATGGTTGTTTACAGACTCCCCACCCAGCAGAGTCCTAGTGTATTTTCTCTTCTTTTTCCATTAGTACTCTCATATGACTCCCTGAAATTGGGAGTACTCAAATATTTCCACAGATTCATGTTTTTCAGGAGCATTTTAATTAATTTCTTTACCACTCCTCACCAAGTCATTGAATCTTTTGTCCTTTATGAAGGATAGTATCATATCTTTCCAGTTGTCTCTTACCAAGGCTTAGCTTTTGTGTCTCTTGAGCAGAATCTTGAAAAAGTTAACGGCTTGCATTATTATGTATGCTTTTGGTGCTTGATGGTTTTGTCTTTAAAAGTTCAGATTTTTGTGGGAATAGCATACTATCAACAATAAGAATTGTTTTTTCTTTGTTTTGTTTTTTTTTTTTGGTACTGGGGATTGAACTCGGGTCCTTGTGCTTGCAAGGCATGCCACCGAACCGCTGAGCTAAATCCTCAGCCCCAAGAATTGTTTTTCTGGTACTGTAGTATAACTAGTCTATAAAAAATGATGGCTTTTAAGTTATCTTCTTAGTTTAGTACAATTTGTGGAAAATAAAAGTGTAGTAGGAAGAAATTTAAATCCTGTGTGATTCCACCAGCCAGGCATAACTACTACAGTGTTATTCTGATAGATATTTTTGATAATTTTTTCATAATATATAATTAAAGAATACTGGGATATATAAATAAAATTTTGCTGGTTGCTCTTTTTTTTTTTTTTTTTTTTTTTTTTT